TTCCTGAACCGCTCACATCAGACGGCACTGTCAAGTGTCAGTTTTATGTCAAAATGGCCGCTATCGGCTGAATTGAAAATTTACAACTTTCGGGTACCAATATGTGAAAAAGGAGCTAAAACGGGGGACGATTTCTATCGTTTCCGATGTGTCTGTGAACCTTTCATTAGAGGTTTTTTCCCCAAAAGGAAAATTACGTTTAGCAGGCCTTTCGATGTTGTCCCACATATTATGGTTTCATATTTGAATCTGTCGCCAGATTGAAAACATTATTTTAACTTAATGTACTGACAGGTAAACAAAATGCAATCTTTAACAGAGCTTATGCCCGGGTAGTATTAGACATTACGTTCCGGGGCAAATCTGCGATATTTCAAAACAAACCTCGAAGATCTATTACTGAAAATCAAGAATCGACCCCATCTGAGACTCCTGTAATCTGTCAAATCGGATAAACCCGTAACTGTACCTACATTCAGAACAGCAACATGACCGAATTTGGGTGCTTTTAGAAAACGGAGGTCTTGAGTGTTGAATTTGTGTCTTCCAGTAACCCTTTCTTCAAATCAGGTATGCAATATGATTTTCCCCCGTCCGTTGGAGTCTACATCGCCAGTGCACACCACGCTGTATTACCAATGATGGAAAGTCCCCACTGCGAGTGAAATGTGAATGTGTACAAAAATAAAACAAAATTTACCTTCTTTTCTGTGTCCGTAAGGTATATATGTATATGTTTCCTTAACATTGTTACATGTAATTAATGGTGCATAGATACTGTGCAATTTACTTCATAAATTATACCTTTAATAGAGTGTTTTTGTTTCTTTATCTTATAAAGTAGGAAAATGGTAATCTTTTGACAATTTATTTTTATCAGTTTAATTGTTACATACTTAGTTTTTTGAATAGTTGATATTGAGATAAATTATTTCAGTTAATATGTATATATACTTAAACATTTGTACAAGAAATATAAGAGAAAAATTTCCTCCTACTCGCCCAGAAACAAAGGAAGTCTTTTAATATCGACCTGTTGAAAACATAGTGATTGTTCTAAATAAGACTGATTTTATTTCAGTATTTGTACGAGTCACAGTTTAGATTTGCCACGTTCAGGATTAATATTTGTTTTTTTATTTTGTACATGATGGTATACAGGCCTGTACAAAGAATTTTATTAATACAAGAACTGTATATGTATTTTGTTTAAAAAACTGTTTTCAGGGGTAATTATTACTTTATCTGTTTCATCCTTGATGTAACTCCAACTACACTAATTTTGAGAAAAACATGGCACAATTATTCTAAACTATCCTAAATTAATTTCATTTTATAAAAAATATTTATTTGAAGTTTTCATATACCAATCACCTATTTTCCTAAAATTACCTATACTGTAACGGTAATTATTTTTAATTGAGGAATGAGTCGAAGGGATTAATTTATCTATATCAAAATTAAAAAAAAAGGTGAGTATACTTCCGTACGTATGCGACACAAGCTATAAAAAAGATATAAAAAAACATGTAGTTACTATATATATACATATGTTTCTAATACAATGAAAAGAACTAACATTTGTTTCAGGAGAAATACCAAGATTTCTTTTTTTTTTAATACAATTTTAATATTATGTAAGTATTGACCTTTGCCATTCAAAAAATTCAAAATCTGTACAACTGAATTTCTAGAACTTTTATTAATCATGTTACATTTTAAACTAGATTTGTAACATAATGTTCCACTTTTTTTTCGATACCTACTGAATTATTTTTGATTCACTTCAATTTGCATATTTATGCTAAAATAATATCCTGACTCATTTTTGAAATAAAATAAAAAAATTTTTTTTTTTGCTATACAAATTGAAATCTGATATAAAGCATGATATTTATATTATGCAGAATCTTTTCTAAATTGAAAAAAATGGTACCAATAAACCTACAACTCAAAAAAATATGCTCCACAGAACAATTACCTCAATAAAATGTTCACCCCTTAGTCTCAAAGTTTCCAAAAAATATGTATATAGAATAGACAAATTTTACAAAAAATTCCTACTAATGCATGTGTAACATTGTTAACATTTTTTTGAAAATCTCTGTCCCTTGGAGAGGGTTGTAATAAGCAACCCCTATATTATTTTTTAATAAAACTTTTTTTTGTTTGAATAGGTATTAAAAAATATTTATCGGATAACCTGATTTATTTTAAAAGATTTTCCTCTCACTTTTCTGCTTTAAAACTAACCATTTATTAATAATAAAAGAATTCTACAATATTTTTGTACGAATACGTGACAACTTTCACAGATGTATTGGACTATTTAAAACAAAATAGAAATTATTTCTAAAATATTATTTCAAGTATTCTTTTTGCTTTTACATACTTTTAATAATAAAGATCTTGAGCCATTTCCTATGCTCTACTTTTCCAATTACATAGTCTTCTTTCTACTACTTAGAAAATCTGTCTGTGAAGAACTAGGCAATTTGAATATTGCTGATATATTGTTTTTACTGCGCTATTAAGTAACAAATCCAAAGACGCACATGCAAAAGATTTAATAACAGAAATTAGCTTGAAATCCGTCTACTTAAATAGTTCTTAGTTGTAATCGTGTGATTTGTAATGGACATGATAACGAATTTATTTTTTTTTTCTTAAACGATTAGGTTTCAAGTAAAAAAGTAAGAATTTTTTAACTAAACAGAGCTAACATGTACTTTTAAATATTCAATTATTACTAAACAAAAAAGTTGTAGCAAAAACTAACTTAGGGGATGCTCATTTCAACCCCTTTTCAAGGATGGAAATTTTTGAAAAATTTCTAAGGTTGCACGTGTATTAGTAAAAAATTTTTATATTATAAGTTGACTATAATACCTTTTTCCTTTTTCAAATTACAGTTGCTATTCCATATTTCATGGGAAACTGAAGGGCTATAAGGATTTATAAAAAAATAAAAAATATATCCATGCTATTAGGGAGCAAAGCATTATTCAGCTTTGCCACATTATTCCAGGAAAGATTATCACAATATTAATAGTCAAATAATTATAGATAGTAACTACAAGAGGTATGGTAGATTTCCATTTTCTACTCCTGATGGTGTAATTTAACTAAATTCAGAGATAGATACTGTTATAGAAAATCTGTATTTCACCGCTAAACCACAACCTGTTTCTGAGTGATCACATTTAATTTATGTTGCACGTCTCCTAAAAGTAATTTTTATGTCATCAGTTATCATCGTCTTACAACGATCATGAATTCAATTAAATATTACAATTAATAAATAAAATTTACTACTTTCCATAATGATAATTCTTCCTATACATTTTTTAATTTGAGTAAATAAAATAAATTTATCTTTTCATTCAAAAACATGTTTGTTTTTTGTTGCCCTAAGTGCCTGATATAACTTATAATAAAAATAAAATTATTAGTTTTATAGGTTAGGTTAATCTGATACAGGTATCAAGATTTTACAAGCTCTGTTGAACTACTGTTACCACCGCAATAGTTCCAATAATCGATAGTGCTTATGTTGCCAAATATTTTCTGATAACATTTACCATTTACATAAGATTCTTATAATACATTTTCCAGATATTTTTATTTATTTTTAAAGGGCCATTACAATCACAACTTCTAAGAAGCCTTTACATTTCGAAGAAAAAGTATAGTAGGCAGGTATATACTTTTAGATAATAAACCTTCTATGTTTTGATTATTACATTTGCTGTAATTATTAAGTTAATCGTCGTTGAATATATTTATAACATCGAATTTCTCCACGTAATTTAAAATGTACGAGTCTACTGTCAAAAAATGAGGTCAAGTGCATTTCTAAAATAATTTTCCTCCATTGTTTAAAACGAATTTTAACTCTTTACTGTATAAATAAATATGTATTTATTATCTTTTTTATATTTTATTTAAAAAGTTTTATAGTAATATTTCGTTTTACTATTATTATAATTGACTCTCTGGTCCTGCCATCTATACGCCATACGTTTAATAAAATATCGGTAATCTAGAACCCAGATTTTAGATTGATTTTACCGACAACTTATTTTTTGTCTTCGGTTTGTGTTTTCCAAAACAAGATCAAGTGATCGATTTATCAATTATTTCGAGTAACGCTCGCTTACCCACGCTAATTATTGTGCGTCTTAATCGACAATTGTGTGTATAGAAATATTTACAGATTTTTATTAAAATACGTTTTTTTCAAAACGCCATTTTTTCTATAAATACACAGTTTACCAGGTAAATTCCTTTTTTCCAATATACTTCAATATAATAATTCACATATTAATGTTACTACTATTAGATTAATATGCCGAAAAAGGGGAAGAAGCGGTTGACCCAACGAAAGGGGACCTGTATAAGGGGCCAGCCAACAAGAAGATCTGTCCCCGAGGAGATGGCTGAAGATACAAATAGTAGTTCTTCTGTGGAATTGCCTCCTCCTCTTATTGTGCCTTCTGCAGAGGCAGCAGTAACGGTTCATGGAGATATACCTCACGTGGTTGAAATACAACAGCATATAGTTCAACCAGTAGCTGCTGTACAGGATAAAAACTCCACAATAAATAGAATGCCAAGTGATTCTTCCACAGGGGATTTAGTGAAAACTGCACCTTCTACTTCCTTAGGTAATTATTACAAGACTATTTTTGAATTTAATTAATTTTATTTTTCATATAGGTATAGGGTTATATGTCAGTATATCATAAAGAACCATATCTACTTTCTATGATAAGTACACAAAATATTATCTTTTTAAAAAAATGCTTATTACTATTTCAGAACAGTTCAATTGATTTCCAAATTTTTCCCAACACAGATATTTAATTTCATAACTTCATAAAGAATAACCAATTTTTATTCACCACTACAATTACCTCCAAAATATAAAAATAGGTACCTATATATTTTCAGTTTCACTGTTTGCCTTTTACTTTGAAATCAATATTAAAATTGGCCGCTCGGTATAATATAAAGCATTATACATTGAAAATATATATATATAAGTACCTACTCAACATTTTATTTGTATTAAAATTGCAAAGTACATGTAAAATATTTATAAAATAACTATAGATAATTATTCTACCGAAAAAGACTCTTGAAACAAAATATTCAAAACCTATGAAACAGTCACCTCTTCAAGAGCTTAACCATTTCTTATATTTATCAAACTATTTATGATCTCCCTCTCAAGCTACATGAGATACTTATCAACAATTTTTTTTTTAACATCCCTTCAGTGATTTTTATGTAACAAACTGTGGTTTACTTAATTCTTCCTTAATTTCATATTTTCAACGATATGCTACTACAGTTTTTTTACTTTTAATAAAATATTTGCTGCCTCAACAGCAATAATTTGCTTTCTTTTCCATTCATCCAATCATTTATTTAATTAAAAATTATTATCCATAGTTCTATACGTTCAAGATAAATACATATACCTATTTAAATTTTTCGTTTCTTAAAAAAGTATACATTCTCAATACTTTTTTTTATTTTTTCTTTTTAAAGACAACTTTATCCATTATTTTGAGTATTTCAATGACATATTCATGGTTCGTAGTGACCTGGAAAACCATGAATACCGGGAAAAGTCAGGGAATTAATTATTCTTCATAAAAAACATGGAATAGTCGGAACATTTTAAAAGTATTCATGAAAGTCAAGGAATTTGATGTTTGCAACTGGAAATTTTGTGAAAACCAGAATTCTTGAAAGAGAAAACTATTTGTGATTTTTTAAACTTTTATAAGAGCTTCTTTGTGTATAAAAAAGATTATGGAGTTCAGTCTAGAAAAAGTGTAATGCATAAACACCAATTAGTGTGTACAAATGACCTGCAAGTGACCTGAATGATTTTTTATAAGTAAGGGAAAACCTAGAAAAGTCAGGGAATTCTATATTAATTTAGAACTATGAACCCTGGTATTGTATTGGGACTTTTCATGAATAATTTATACGTTACTTGATATACTATTATACAAATATATCGACTACATATTGCTACAATACTTTGAGGAGATGAATATGTATTTCCATTCTTTGTTACAATTTATCAAATACAAACAGAAAGATGAATATGTAAGGGGCATTCAGATCTAACCTAATTAGATTTCATCCTTTTACTGCACTTTTCTCATACACAAATATTTTATTTAATCATTAATCAAATGTTTTCCAAAAAGTAGTATAGTTTTTTCTAATTTATTTTTGTCCAAAGCAGCAACTCTCTAAATAGATATAGTTATTTGCAACAAAGCACTGCAAATTTAAATATATAACATTTATAACTTTTTGAATAATTTCGGGAAAAGAATTATCATTAGAGTCTATACAGGGTGTTGCAAAATGTTCACAAAATTCTACATCCAAAAATAGGAAAAAAAATCCAATGAATGTAGATTCCCCAAATACTTCGTCTCCAGAAAAGAGGATGTCAAAACAAAATAATAATGTTTTTTATTGATAATTTTTTAATTTTTCATTAAAAACGTTTCAATGTGTGTGGATCAACACATCTCAGACCCATCAGAGGCATAGATATGGGGGAGTACCTATTGATTTTTGACCAGAAAATCTATGCCAGTGGTTTTTCTATTGGTTTTTACTTTATTTTTAGGAACCTCATTTAATTTAAAACAAAAAAATCCCCTTGCACATTTGTCATTTAGCAAGCGGCTTTCGAGCTATTGAGGATATTTAAAAATCATACTAATCTTTCTATGAAACCATTAACTATTAAAAAAAACATAGTTGGTGTCTGTCACTCAAAAATAATATGCAATATGGAGAAATAAATGACCCAAATTTAAATGATCTCTAATGAAAAATTTAGAAATTATCAATACAAAACATATTTTTTTTATTTTTTTTACACACCCTATTTAGAAAACGAAGCAGTTGTGGACATACTTTAATAGGATTTTTTTTTCGTATTTTTGGATATAGAATCTGCTTCAGAATTCTCTGTACAATATTTTGCAACACCCTGTATATATGAAGGGACCAAAAATTAAATTTAAATTGAATAAAATTCTAATTTTTGTACAATTTTCAACAAACAATTTTCCATTGGTGAAATTACAGTATGGGATGTAAGCTACCCTCATATAAAATTTCATACATTTTCAGAAAATCCTATGAAATCCATGTCGTGCAAAAAAATTTTAATTTTAATATAGAAAAATTTCTAATTTTTAGACAATTTCTACCAAAAGAATTTTGAATGGGAAAGTAGATTACCCTCGCATAAAATTTCATGGATCTGCAAAAAGTCTATGGAATACTAATGGAGCAAATACTGTAAATTAAATGGAAAAAAATATAAGACAATTTTCAAAAAACGATTTTCCATTTGTAAAATTATAGTTTGGAATGTAAACTATCTCATATAAAATTTGATGTACTTTCATGAATTCTCTGGGGATTATAATAAACAAAAAGCTGTAATTTAATATATAGAACAATTTCTAGCCTCTAAACAACTTTCGGGATAACTATCATTGGGGTCTACAGGATGGGCCACCAGTAATGCCTTGGTGGTTAAGGACCAAATGGCAAATGTTATAGAAACCTGTTTAGATGGGTAGTTGTAGATTGATTACAGTTACATTTTAAAAATGTTTTGAAATATACAAGGTATCCAGGAAAAGCGTACCATATCAAAGTTATGTATTTTTAAATTACTGCATTTTTGAAAGCACCGTATAAAAAAATAGGTGAACATTATTAAAGGTTCTGCATAGCCTAGGACTTATTGTTTGTACAATATTTTAATTTTAGTGAAAATGCAGGCTTAGCGTAGAAATTTAATATTAGCAATAAAAAAATAATTTTAAGTAAGCATATTTGGAGAATGTATTTTGGATCCTTATCGAGGTCTTTATTGAATTGGGAAAGTGTTAATCATAACAATATTCAAGAAAATATTATTTTATAAGCAGAATAATTATAAAAAGTTATTAATTTTATATAAATATGTTTGTTGTAATTAATTAGGAACAACATGAAATATATTTATTAAAGGAAATTTTACTTTTAGAAGAAACAAAGAAAAATTTTAATTGATGATCGAACCAAATATAGCCATTCTCTTGAATACAGCATCTTATTCTATCTTTAAATGATATCCTTACATTCCTTAGAATATCTGGGACGATTGTAGTAGTAGGTGGAACACTGTGTACAATATTTTTTATATAGCCCGTAACAAAGAAGTCCATTACTTATTATTTATTATTTAATTTTCGATTTAAATAATTTTTCACTGAATATGAAAAATTTGAAGGTGCACCATTTAATTACATTCTCATTTTTCTCCTTACATTTAAAGAGAGGTCAAGAAGAACCCAAACCAATACAATAAAGAACTCGATGAAGACACGTGGATACATTTTACAAAAATATTCGATAAAAAAACGAAACGACACAAATATCTCCAATACCTTTAGAGATAGGTGTAGGTAACCTATACACAGTTTGAAAGTTTTAAAATTCATAACTTCCAAATTAAAATATACAGGGTGTTCCATTTAAAATAACTAACTTATTGCTGTTTAAAGTTGAAAGAAGTATTCAGTAGTTTTTTGAACACCCTGTACAATACTAAGTGACGACAAAATATAATAATTTTTAACTTCAAGAATCTAAAATACACTCTCCAAAGCTGCTTCCTTAAAATAATTTTTTTATTGCTAATATTAAATTTCTACGCAAAGCTTACATTTTCACTAAAATTGAAATATCTCACAAACGATAAGTCCTAGGTATGCAGAACCTTTAATAAAGTTGACCTATGTTTTTACGGTGCTTTCAAAAATGCAGTAAAATACAGGGTGTTCCATTTAAAAATACATAACTTTGATATGGTACGCTTTTCCTGGACACCCTGAACATTTCAAAATATTTTAAAATGTAGCCGTAATCAACCTACACATACACCCTGTGTATATTCGAAAAGATCAAAAATTAAATTTAAATTGAAAAAAATTCTAATTTTTATACAATTTTCAAAAAACTATTTTCCATTGGTAAAATTATAGTATGGGATGTAAACTACCCTCACATAAAATTTCATACATTTTCAAAAAATCGTATGAAATCCATGTCGGGCAAAATAAAATTAATATTATAGAAAAATTTTTAACTTTTAGACAATTTCTACTGAAAGAATTTTGAACGGGAAAGTAGATTACCCTCATGTAAAATTTCATGGATTTGCAAAAGGTCTATAGATTACTAAAATAGCAAAAACTGTAAATTTAAATGTAAAAAACTAACTTGCAAATAATTTTCAAAAAACGATTTTACATTATTTGTAAAATTACAGTTTGGGATGTAAAGTACCCTCACTTAAAATATCAATGCACTTTCAAAAAATTCTTGGAGTTCATAGCAAACAAAAAACCAAATTTAAATATTGAAAAGTATGAAGCCTTTAGACAACTTTCGCGAAAGGATTTATGACTACCCTTATATAGTTTCATAAATTTGCAAATCGTCTATGATTTATTAAGGGAGCAAAAAATGTAAAATTTAAATGAAAAAAAATAAATGAAACAATTTTCAAATTACTATTTTTCATTGGCAAAATTATTGTTTGGGATATAGGCTACCTACGTAA